GTGATGCTAAGTACCTTGTTCACAAATTAACATGGTACATACCTCCCTCGTGTGTGATGCCAAGTGCCGCGTCCAGCATCTGTAGTGTTGTGCTTTGCGCAGCACTTCCTCCTTTCATCTGAAATATCAAAAAGAGTATTAAATGTTGCTTTTAAAAAAAGGAACTTGACAGTAATAGAAAGTTTACAAGATATTATCATTTACATTGTTTAGGTTAAGAATATATTGACCTTTGCCATACATCATACGAACCGATGTGGGTTGGTCTCCGTATACGCCTTCATAAATCAATCCTTCAGGAAGCGGGTCTTTTCCTCCACCCCACCTAGGGAATATATAAAGTATTTAAAGTTTAGGTAATGCAAAGTATCATTTTAAATGTAGGCAAAACTACGCACACTCACCTTAATATGATTTAATACACACTGATTTGAAGGAAGGGAGGTTTGAAGTGAGTATCTAAATAATGTGTCAATACAGTGTGTTCAATTATGAACATATAGGGTTGACGTTTAACCTTTAGAACACCCGGCCTTATGTATCTTGTACTTTCTCCATATGAACATTCCTTTGTTCATTTTCTGCCCTAGCTTTATCAAGTTCAGATTACAGTTTTGATAACATTTTGATAAACTCTTATCGTTTTTATCGATAGGTTTAACTATGATACATACTTTTTGTCTTTATCGTCATTGTGAAAGTATGAACTTAGTCCGGTGTTGATTCCATGTGTTGAGATAGGCACTGTTAGAGGTTTGAATCTATAAATGTGCTAATATTCTCGCGTTGACGTATTTGCAATATATAGCTTAGTTGAAGTTTTGTGTATTTCTGCAACTATATTGACAAAGCCAGTATACAAATAGGTACTATTTACCTAAAAAGACAGCAGTATACGTAGGAGAATTGATATTGTCCAAATATAGTACGTGTTGAAGTATTCATATATATTTTTTGTAGTCTTAACTGAATCTATACCATGTTGAAATGTAAACCTATATTTATTTCGATACAGAAGGTACTGAAAATTAAATATTGTGGCGATATGGAACGTGTTACATTATAAATATATAACTAACTGTAAAAATATATACACTTGCGCTGTTTTGAAAAAAGATTCATTTGCCCCGTGAACAAAAATATATTATTTATTTCTATGAGATATGTACACTCACCACGTGTATAAGACATATAAACATACATGTGTGCGTATATATACTGTCCCCGTATTGTTATCCTGAGGTTAAGATATACACTTACACGTCATTGAAACACACGCGATCATTCCCTAAGTTTGAGTTATATACCCTTAATATATATAAAAGATATAAGTAATATAATCACTGTAAGTTAAGCTATATACTGTAATTAAATTACCAGGTTGGGTGCTTATACACGATATAAATCGTACAGTTACCGTTTTGGGAGTACACACACACATGATGTTTAAAACACATATGTACTTCAGATTTATATACGAAATATATGTATACCCTTTCACCCTGAATACAGTATCAAATACATACGCCTACCCCTTGTATAAAACATACAATCACCCTGTATATAAAACGTATACACTTATCCCGTTGTATAAAATGCATACACTTAACCTGTCAATGAAATAAATATACCCGTCCAGAACATAAAACACACACATATGGTGTCCTTACCCTGTATAGAAAATCCTTAGTTCATCATAGAACTGCTCTGGGACTACTCCGTCTGTAAACAGGCGAATGATCGATTACAGTGAAGCCTGAATACATTTAATTCATCTCTTTACCGACTCAGCAATTTATATATTGTGAGCAAGATTTATTTTGATTTAAACATATTTTATTGCAGAATTTGAAAATGGATTAGACACAAGTTATTCCAACTTATGAAGCCTTCTCCCAGAAATATTTGA